TTAGCACTTTAATTCTTATTCTTATTTTTATATTTTTATGACAGTATGTTGCACTGAAGCACCGCAGCAATTTCCTAATGTTGTAAACCTGCTCAACATCTGGCAATAAACCCTTTCTGATTTCTGATTTCTGATTTCTGATCCATCATGGATAATTCAGTTAACATGCTCCACAAGGTACCAACAGCCCAGTTCAGTAACTCACTGCTGGGCTTAGCAGAGGCCAAGCCCAGCAGTGAACAGCTACAGTGGCCTGTGTTCTCACACCTGTCAGTGAGAGTTCCTCCCCACTGATTTGCACTGAAGAGTCTCCAAACTAATGAATTGTAACTAAATGTATCAATAATTTTCTTATATGTGTGTATTTAAAAATGTGACCTGCTGTTACAGTTGGTGTTATATTTGGTACTCATTCAGTTTAAATAGGGTGCAGTCAGATTAGCATATTTCTTTAAGCTACTGGCCGAGACACAAGGGAAGGAAGTTCATGTCAGATAAATCCTTGGTCCTCTTCGGTCTTCAGCACTCTGGTACACTCTCTAAAAGTCTAAAATAAAACAACAGCAAAAGTCTGTTACTGTCAATATTGATACAATCTACAGATTTGTATCATCCAAGGCTAATTATTAAATGGACTGGTTCTTAAATAGCATTTTTCTACTCTGAGCACTCAAAGCCCTTTACACAACTTGCACCTTTACCCATGGACTTCTTTTTTTTCTACGCACTTCTTGTCTAACATTCACACACCGATGGATGCATCAGAGAGCAACATGGGGTCACTATACTTGGCATGCAGACTGGGATCAAACCACCAAACTTCCGGTTAGTAGGTGACCTGCTCTACCATCTGAGCTACAGCCACCACTACCTGCAGATAACTAAGTTCACCTTTTTAAGGTCCATGCACCATGTCTAGCAATCTGTGTTTGGGCAGAACAGGAAATATTTTTCTTGCTTATATTAAGAAGGTTTTACTGCTTCCTTTAAGTTGAATGAGAAATGTATATTTTGCCAAGTTGCCTTGTGTCTTAGCAATGTTACTTCATATGAAAAGGGTTCCTGAGGTCTCCATGATTAGAAGTCGGCTCTATGTACAGATGTGAAATAAGTCAAACCTCAAGTAGGCCAAAAAACCAACAAAATTAAACCCAAAACTGAAAGTGCTTTAAAAATGCCAGCCCTTTGCCTGTAGGAATGAATAGTAACAATGTATATTAATATCAAACCTTTTTATAAGGTAAGCAAGTGTGTGGATTGTTTAAAAGGAAATTCATTTTAAAGCTTTTTATTTTGCATTGCTGTAAAACAATTTTGTTTTACGCTAAACCTACAAAAAACTGAATTTTCAAGGCCAAGCAGTAATTCAAAACTGAGCTAGTCTGATGCAGCAGATGCACTTCTTAGTTGAATATGTCAGCAGTCACTGTCAAGGCTGTGAGGCCAGTCAGCAAAGGTGGACCCAAACGCAAAACCAACAGAGACTGGTGTCAAGTTTCACAGCCTTTACATTTACACACAAAACTAAGCATGAAGGTAAGTAACACAGGGACACGGACAATTATTTCTGATTACCACTAGCAGGTGTAGACGTGGACAGAACGATCCAAATATCAATACTTAGGCTACCAGGCGAAAGCGCATCAAATCAGACTTTTTTGACCCTATGCGACCCATATCCGATCATGCTATGACAGTGTGAACGAAAGTATGTGGTACTGAATCCGATACATATCTGATGTTTTAGAAAGCGACTGCTGTTTGATGGTCATGTCGCATTAAAACCATCTTTTACGTCACTGACACAAGACAGACGCCAATTATCAGCGCCCGAGAAGACATCGCGAACGCTTCCTGGCCATCCTGTGTAGATGTTGGGAAGACAACGTTGAAGAAAACGTGAACATTCCCTTTGAAGCCCTGCTCCTCTCTAAAACAGCAATAAGGATCATCATTAGGCCATATGTAAATAACAAAATAACTTTATAACTTAAAGTAAAATTGGTAAACTTAAAGTCCGAAACAAGTCTTTATAGTAAGGCCATCAGTCAAACAATACTGTTTGATCTGGGTCTAAACAGAGCGCGTTGTGCGTGACGTCTTCTTTTGCGCATGCGGTCGCTTTGATTCAGCGCGTTTGCTGTCACATTTTATTTGTAGTGTGAACAAGCAGACAAAAAAAATCGGAACTGAGCATTAAGACCTGCAGTGTGAACGTAGCCTTGGTTTCTATCCTCTCGGCTCAGTATGTAGCTCAATGGTGCAACACTAGCAGCTGGTCTGTTTGCACTGAAGTGGATAAACTTGATGGCAAACAGGTGCTACGACTGAGGAGCGGGAAAGTATACAACTCCACCCTAAAGGGGAGGAGAAAGGCAGCATGCGCTGTCAGGTTGGAGAAAGAAACAGAAACTGTGACAGCGATGCAAACATTTTTTGTCTTTCCGTTTGCAGTGCAGATGATCTTCTTGATTTTTTAAAAATTGAAATAAGTGTCAAATTAAAAGAAATACCTTCATCATTCAGCTTTACAGGGAGTGGATCTGGTAAGTTGGTGTTGGTTTTCAAGCTTTTTGTAAGTTTTGATATATGTTCTTCCTCTCAGTATGACTGTGCCTCCATTGAGAACAAGGGCTGATTTTAACAAAACAGAAATATTGATATTATCGGACGTTTATACTTTATTTAGTGTTAATGAAGTAAAAAACAAAACAGTATTATTGTAATTCAGGTTTTGTGCATTATATAACCCTCCGCGCTGGATGTTCACATCCGTCCGCTAGAGGGTGCTGCAGACCCTCCGTGTAGAGCCACCCTCGTAGGCTGCTGACCCGCGTTCACCCGTACTGTACAGGCATGGGGGAGGACCGAGCATAGAGAACTAGTAAACGCCGTGGGGTTCCCTGTGCACACCGTGGCCATGACTTTGACAGTACCGGCTAGCGGACGTTGCTCTCCCGTCTCCAGGCACCTGAAAGCGGACCGGTAGAGGAGGCTAACACCGGAGGGAGAGGCATTAGCTGACGCCGGCTCGAGTCGGTAAAGCAGCTTTTATTTGATTTTTTTAACGTGTTTGTTGAGCTTGTTTCTTCACGAGATAACTGCCGCTCCTCGTTCAGCGGTTTTACGTGGACGCTACCGGGAGGCGCTTTTATTTGAGCGGTGGAGTGCTGCTGAGTGAGACAGTTTGACACTTTCAGCGAAAACAGGCTGAAAGCTTCTGCTCGGGGACGCCGGTGCAAGGTGAGCGCTGTCCTCACGTCAACCCCGGCGCTGCGCCGGCCTGCTGTACTCCAGCTACAGGGAAACGCCGTCGTCGTGTGGCCGGTGCACTGCAGCTCTGTGACGTCCCCAGGTTCACCTACACCGGCTTCCTCTTACTGCCACCGCACTGTGTGAAATGAGTTACTCTACATCCTGCAGTCAGAGGTGAACGAGGGAAGATGTGACAACTATGTAGTGTCTGTGTGTGTCTGTAGTGTAATCTCCACCGTCACTGCTCGCTCCTTTGCTGTGACATGTGCCCATAGGTCGGTCTGTCCGTGGGCGCTTGCGTGCCAAAGTTTGCCTGAAAAGCTGCTGGAGGATTCAGAGTCATACCTGTGTCATAGGGCGGTGTCATGTATGAAATGTGGCTCCCAGCCAATAGCTGCTTCTATAGGGAGAGGCCTAGTATATGAGTTTATGCCATTATGCACTGGGCTGCACATATAGGTATTAGCACCAGTCTGTTGTACTTCTCTGCAGTAAGGGTGTGGGTGGGTGTGTCGTTAATGTACGGCCTCACAATTCTTATTGCCATTCCTATTCATATGACTGAGTGTTTGCTAAGCATGTGGACCAGTCAAGGGGCGCTCAGTCATTCATTTTCTGTCCAGACTTGTAGTTCCAGACACCTTGGTTTAAGTCAGGGATGTCAAACTCCTTTTCTATCGTTTGCCACTTACAGCCTGCATGATGAAACTGGAGTACTCACAGCTGAAAATAGGAAGGTTTCATAAAATTAAAGAAAATGCCCTTTTCTTCCAAACAAACAAACTGTGGACTCACTATTAAAAGAAAACAGTTAATTCTATAGCAGATGATGGAAAACAGGAACTTATTTGTTATTTTGTTGTTTATCCATTACTTAATTACTTTTTTAGGGGGGGGGGGGGGGGGCTGTCATACTTATGCTGTTAAGTGTAAAATCTATGCACTCCTTTACATTTTCCAAAGCTTTTATGGTGGGCTGCAATGGTATGTTTGATACCCCTGGTTTGAGTGCTACAACTAACTAGGGCATATACAGATACATGGCTCTAGTTTTTTAATAAATTGTAATCCTAATCTTTGAAAAATTCAGTAAAAGCTGATTTTTGGCTGCTTGCTGATTCATAAGGGGCTTGCACAGCAGGTAGCTCCACATGTGTGAGGTCTTTTTTTTCTTCTTCTTTTTTAGCCAGATGCCGTTCTGGGGATTTGTCTCCTCCTGGATCTTTTACTTGTTTCGCAAATGTATAAACTACTTCACTGTGGTTTACACATTTGCACAGTATTATTCTTCTATCTGTAATTTAACATCCACCTTGAGCTACTCAGTGATTCATAACTTTGTAAAGTTACCTGCTTCACTGACTATTCAGTGCCTAGCAGAAGCTCCTGGCTACAGCTGCCTGTTTTGGCACAACTGTCAATCACAGCAGCCACCTCTGACTTAAAGCCTTAACATAATCCAAATGTGTATGTCTTAGAAGCATCTGAGGTTGTTATAGTGGAAGAATTAAGATGATATTCCTCTACCATAATATCATCATTAAAATCATATTACAGTATATTTAATCAACTCGCCCATCCAAATCATTGAAGTCATGTGTTCCAGTTCCTCGACCACAGGTGTATAAAATCAAGCACCTAGGCATTTATGAAGGAATGTGCCGCTCTAAGGAGCTCAGTGAAATCCAGTGTGGTACTATGATCGGATGCTAACTGTGCACCATGTCCGGTCGGTGCACTCAGTGACAGTCAGTCGCTACAGACCTCCAAAGTTCATGTGGCCTTCAGATTAGGTCAAGAACAGTGTTTAGAGAGCTTCGTGGAATGGGTTTCCACGGCTGAGCAGCTGCATCAAAGCCTTACATCACCAAGCACAACGCAAAGCGTCAGCTGCAGTGGTGTAAAGCACACCACCACTGGACTCTAGAGCAGTGGAGACGTGTTCTCTGGAATAACATATGACACTTCTCCATCTGGCAGTCTGGGTTTGGCGGTTGCCATGAGAACAATACTTGTGTGACTGCACTAGGCCAAGTGTAAAGTTTGGTAGAGGGGGAATTATGGTGTGGGGTTGTTTTTTGGTCCCTTTGTTCCAGTGAAAGTAACTCTTAATGCTTCATTTCATCCCCCCAACTTAGTGGGAACAGTTTGGGGATGGCCCATAAAGATGGATGAGTGAGTTTGGTGTAGGAGAACTTGACTGGCCTGCACAGACTCCTGACTAGGGATGGGTATCGTTCAGGTTTTATCCTATGATGATGTTTGCTAGTTCACCTTACATGCATTAATGTAATAACGTGGTTAGCCTACTCAATGTAAATTACACACAAACAACATGAAGCTACTCACGCAGAGAAGAACGGCTGCTGCTGCATCATCATCCTCATCATTTCTGCTACACTGGCATGGCTAAGGGCCAGGACTCTTCGGGTTTTTGGGGGATGTTGCTAACTCCGGGTCCGATAACTGGCAACCCACCCGCAGTAGATGTGCTCGATGTGAGGTCTCGCAGCAAGCTATCAAATACGGCGCATTTCTCGGCTTTTAAAAAAAAACCGATATGCGTCGCCAGGTGTTTCATGGGATTTGAGGTGTTACCTCCTTTGACAGCATCACAGTATCAGCTTAAAGCACTTGTTGCTGCTGAGTTTGCATCTTTTGCTGTGAAGTACAGCCAGACTTTTGACCGCTTCGCCTTGGACATTTTAATCTGTAGCTCTGCTCTAAAAGAACGTACGTACCTGGCTCCGCCTACTATCCTCGGAAACGTAAAATGATTGGCTAGAAGTGTATCACAGCTCAGGAAAAAAAAGCACCGAAATGTGCGCTGCTTTTTGGTCTGGTTACTACCATTTATGTCAGAACCGGTGCCATCCCTACTCCTGACCTCAACCTGAATGAACACCTTTGATATATTAGAGTGGAGACTGTGAGCCAGGCCTTCTCGTCATCCCCTTACAAATGCACCTCTGGAACAATGGTTATGAATTCCACAAAACACTCCTAACCTTGTGGAAAATCAAAGCTGTTATAGCTGCAAAGGGTGGGCTGACATCATATTAAACCCTGTGGATTAAGAATAGGATGTCTCTCAACTTCATGTGTGTGACAGCAGATACTTCTGTGTCTGCGTCCATTTTCATAAATTTGTAGGGCTGAATGGGAGCTTGTACAAAGACAGTGATGAAGGACTGAAGGACTATAGGGGAAAAAAAAACAAAACTCTGAGCAACAGCAGCCAATAAACTGGCTTCAGGGTTCTGGCAAAGAATGTTTCCTTACTTGTAAGATTTCGTCCAGCATCGAGAGTCTGCACAGAACACTCCTTCAGTGTGTAGTGATGAATAAATGGAAGCAAAGAGACATTTTCCACACATCTTTATTCATTTATCATTTTAAATAAAACACTGTCAGAGCCACAGCTGCGTATGAAACAAATTAATGTGGACCCCCCCTTTAGTATTTCCCCAGAGTGCAAAATCCAGACCTACATACAATTACATAGGAAGCACTCTTGAGTTCCTTAAGTTATGAGTTTGGTAGCTGATGTTTTTTATTAGTTTTCAGCAGCCGTTTGAAAATGTATTCAGCTTTAAGAGTTTCCCCTCAGCTCTAGCTGAACCTCAGTGCCACAGCTTAATAAATCATTTCAAGGGTGCCTTTCATATATATTTTCTGTGTACAAGGCAACTCAGAGGATTTCATTTTATAAAGAGTTGTTTTTTTTCTTTAAGGAATATTGCTGTTCTTAGTCCTTGTAAGGGAATTACAATGAACGAGTGGATGGAAGGAATTACAAGGCAAAGAAAGGCCATGTAAGTTTAAGCATGCGTACACATACAAAGCTTTAATCCCTGCCAGCAGCTGCAGGTGGCCTCTTTTTGACATCCTCATTCTCCCTCCTCTAATGCAAGGCCTGCGTCCTTTTCTGAGGTTCAGGGTTAATGTGTAGCAAGAATGGGGTGCAGGCAGGGTGAGGAGAAAGTGGCATCCCCTCCACTGCCCGTCAACCCTTCACCCACTGATCCAGGCTCAGCGTGAGGGTTGCTGAGTGTGTTTGTCTGAGCTTGGTTACATAATGTGTGGAGGCAGCCGTTGCCCCAGTCCTCAGAGGTCCCTCGGCACGCTCGCATCACACAGATGTAGACGAGCGTGTGCGTTGGAGGGGTGGGGTTAAGTGTCAACATGGACCACAGAACTATTGTTTAAGTGCTTTTAGAATCAGATGGACATTTAGAATTTCACTGCAAGTAGTATTTGGGTGGCTGATGTGTTTCAGGCAAGAAAATGTCAAGAAAAAGTGACAACTTGAGCCAGTTTTGCCCTCTGCAATTGTAATTCAACCTGGGTAAACTAGCCTGTCTTCTCTGGGAACTCTCTGTCGACATTTTAGTGCAAGCAGCGGCACAAAGAAGCTGTTTTAAATGGCTCCCTATAGCATTATGGTCACTTTAACCTTCAGGTCAGTGTATTCACCTGGAAGGAGAGGTGAGAGGTCTAAGGCGACATATTTTAGATCTTTATACAGTGCGTTCTGTATGTTTACGATACACACCACACTTGTAAGAATCACAGTTTCCAAGTTCTAAGACTTTTTGTCGATATTTGATCAATAAATAAGTCGATCATGAAGAGCTTGGTGGATGTGGCAAATTGTTACCGTGACCCACTCCACACCCGTACAACGTTGATCAGAATGACATACACGTACCAAAAACACAACCTCCTTGGCAGCCGTAGTTAGTCATTAGCAGCTCTGATTCTTAGTGTACTCTTTCTGGGACCTCTAGAAGCATTTGTGGGCTTTTATTTAGAAACCGTGAATGTTTCCGTTGTCCTCAGTCTAAACGTACATGCAGATACAGCTGGCTGAAAAAGTCCAATTTCACCTATGCAATCATTCTTTGGAGTTCGTTTTAACTGCAAAGCTCTTTGTATATTTTATTGTCAATAAATGAAATGCTTCCATTTCTTTACAGCAGCGTGCTTTTTCTCAACCCCAAAAGTTGTCAGTGGTTTACTTCAGCTGGAATCGCTAAAAAACAAGAACTTTGATCAACAAGAACCACCAAGATCTTTCCAAATCACCTCCTAAAGCTGGGCATACACTCTGCGATCTTTTGTTTTGTTTTTTTTCAGTGGCGTTATTCAGCTCCTGCTGAAACTGTACAATT